TGTCATCTGTTCCTGAGCTGGAGTCAGTGTCATCTGTTCCTGAGCTGGAGCCAGTGTCATCTGTTCCTGAGCTGGAGCCAGTGTCATCTGTTCCTGAGCTGGAGCCAGTGTCATCTGTTCCTGAGCTGGAGTCAGTGTCATCTGTTCCTGAGCTGGAGCCAGTGTCATCTGTTCCTGAGCTGGAGTCAGTGTCTCTGTTCCTGAGCTGGAGTCAGTGTCATCTGTTCCTGAGCTGGAGTCAGTGTCATCTGTTCCTGAGCTGGAGCCAGTGTCATCTGTTCCTGAGCTGGAGCCAGTGTCATCTGTTCCTGAGCTGGAGTCAGTGTCATCTGTTCCTGAGCTGGAGCCAGTGTCATCTGTTCCTGAGCTGGAGTCAGTGTCATCTGTTCCTGAGCTGGAGCCAGTGTCTGCCTGTTCCTGAGCTGGAGCCAGTGTCATCTGTTCCTGAGCTGGAGCCAGTGTCTGCCTGTTCCTGAGCTGGAGCCAGTGTCATCTGTTCCTGAGCTGGAGTCAGTGTCATCTGTTCCTGAGCTGGAGCCAGTGTCATCTGTTCCTGAGCTGGAGTCAGTGTCGTCTGTTCCTGAGCTGGAGTCAGTGTCATCTGTTCCTGAGCTGGAGCCAGTGTCATCTGTTCCTGAGCTGGAGTCAGTGTCATCTGTTCCTGAGCTGGAGTCAGTGTCATCTGTTCCTGAGCTGGAGTCAGTGTCGTCTGTTCCTGAGCTGGAGTCAGTGTCATCTGTTCCTGAGCCGGAGCCAGTGTCATCTGTTCCTGAGCCGGAGTCAGTGTCATCTGTTCCTGAGCTGGAGCCAGTGTCATCTGTTCCTGAGCTGGAGTCAGTGTCATCTGTTCCTGAGCTGGAGTCAGTGTCGTCTGTTCCTGAGCTGGAGTCAGTGTCGTCTGTTCCTGAGCCGGAGCCAGTGGCGTCTAGGGCTTGGTATTGTCAAGGGCATCCCGATACGCATCACGATACATGGGTCATGATACGATAGATACCACGATACAATACAATACGATACATATTACGATATATTGCAATATTTATATTTTTTTTACCTCCTACAACCGGAAAAAAAGTACTGGAAGACAATACAGTACATTACAATTCATTGCACTCAGCTGTTCGCCATTATGATTGTCATGTTCTGTGTGTATAAATACCCTGCCTGTTTAGTGTTTGTTACGGAGTTATTGTATATTGTCCCCACATTTCCATTGTCTTTGAGCCTGTTTCTAGTATTTGTCTTATGTTTTTGGATTGGGTTTTTGGATTTTGACCTTTGTCTGGACTGGATTGTGAGTACGGATTATCCTAATAAATTTACTGCAATTGAATCTCTCTCTCCTGTGTGTGTGATCGTGACACACAGACCTAATTTCAACGCAAACAATAGGTTTTGTTGCTTTCCACAAACTATGCTGTCAAAAAAAAATTACATTTATTTTTAGCTAATGGCCAAAAGTATTTGAGCAGTTGTATGATGGGAGTTAAATTAATTTGTTTACTCATAAGGTTTGCCTTCAGATAAATGTGAGAAGATGGTTAATACTTGTGTCCTCTCTTCCCCAGGGCCATGCTCAGACCAGCACTCCTGGCATCTCAACACCCAAGATGGTGCTTAAAGGGATACTCCACTTTTTTTTGGTAATATGTTCATTTTACAACTCCCCCAGAGTTAAACTGTTGAGTTTTACCTTTTTTGAATCCATTCAGCCGATCTCCGGTTCTGGCGCTACCACTTTTAGCATAGCTTAGCATACATCATTGAAGTGCACCAGACCATTAGCATTTCTCCCCAAAAAATGACCAAAGTGTTTCGATATTTTTCCTATTTAAAACTTAACTCTTCTGTCTCCACTTTGGTAATTTTTTTCTGAGAAATGCTAATGGTCTTGTCCTCTTCAATGATTTATGCTAAGCTATGCTAAAAGTGCTACTGCCAGAACCGGAGATCGGCTGAATGGATTCAAAAAAGGTAAAACTCAACAGTTTAACTCTGGAGGAGTTGTAAAATGAGCCTATTTCCAAAAAAAGTGGAGTATCCCTTTAAAGGCTGCAGGGAAGGTTCTCCACATTGTGCTCACTATGGATGGGCAGGTAATCACAGAAGAGAGCGAGGACATCTTGATGGGATTGGGTCTCGTCCTGTGTGTTTTATTTTGTGTTTGGGATCCAGTATCCTAAAGGACTCAAGAAGACACTGACCTTTTGGAGTGTGTTACATTGAAACTGAAAGATGCAGCCAGACTTCCTGTCACAAAAATTAGACTTTAGGACTCAATAATCTCTTTCTGGATGGCCAGTTCAAGAAAACAAGCACGTTTACACTGATGCATGATGTAAATACATGATGTAAATATATTAAATGGGTTAATATTTATTGTGAATATTCAATTGCATTCTGTTTTAATTTTTTCATGAAATATAATATTCTATTAATTGTAATAAGTCTTAATTAATTTGTACTTTCTGTCTTGTGTTCAAATTTGTACATGACTATATTAAATAAATATTTCAAGAAGAATAATAGGTTGTGTCTGTGTTGTGAAATGGGATTAAAGTAGTAAAGTATAATAATAATAATTACAAACATACATATCTACATACCGAAATCATGTCTAAAAAGGTTCAAAATGGAACCCATGCGGTTCATTAATGCACCTTTAAGGGAAGGTTCCAATTAGAACCTTTTCAAAAAGGTTCAAAAATGAACCTTAAGGTTCCCCCACAGTTGCAATTTCCAGGAACCTCAAAAGGTTCATTTTTGAACCTTTCTTCTTCTTCGTTATAACGGCAGATCTGCTCTTTAAGAGAGGTGACCTCTGCTGACAGAACCAGCACTTCCTCTCGTTTTTCTGAAGCTGATAACTGATTTTCTGATGACTTCTTCTCTAGGGTAGCCATGTTTTCTTTTAACTGGTTGCTTTCTACCTCTAAAACAGATGTTGCTTCTGCACGTTCTGGTAAGTGCAACTTCAATTGACAGGTGGTCTCTTTCCTCATTCACCATCTCCCATTTCTCCTCCAGTTTTTGAAGTAGTATCTCTCAGAAGAAGTTATTAGAGGAGGCAACTACAGCTTCACAGAAAGATGCTGAGCTTCAAAATGAGCTTCACCAACAAGAAAGCCTTAGAGAAAAGGCTCAGGAGCTTGAGACTGCCAAGCGTGAGGAACTTGAGAGAAAAGTAGACAAGGACGATCAGCTGGGCTCTTTAGAGAAAAAGTTGAAGGAGATGGAAGGGCTTTTCCTTCACAGGTGACCTCGACACAGGTGACCTCCAGGACAATTTGTGAACAAATACTTGATTTATTTCTATTGGCCATTTTTGTTTGCCTTCTGTTCACTTAGTTTATAGATTTGAATTTTCTGTTGTACAATGTGTTTAAAATAAAGTATTTTTATCATATATTTTATTTTGTATTATTTTTTTTAAGGTTTTAAAGCGTCTGTCTTTTTCCGTGTCTGTCCATCTTTCTGTCTATGTTTGTCTTTGTGTGCCTCTTTTCCGCCCGTCTGTCTGTTTCTTTTTTTGTTGGATAAATCGTTTTTAAAGACTATGCAGAAATGAGCTGTTCACATCATTATGATTTTCCTCTAGAGGATCGGGACACCTACGGTCTTGCACGCCTTAAGCGAGAACGCGCATCGAGGGGCACAAGGGCGCGAGTGCGGATATTGGGGGACATTCTCACACGCTTAACGTTAAAAACACTTAATGTACTGAGACGGCGATATTAAAAGACCAAACTCCGAGTCAGTACACATCATATTAATAAACCATACTATGTATAAAAAAATAAGATGAGTCCAGAATATCAACGCAACGCGATTAATAACACGTTAAGCATTTTCTTCCCATAGAAAACCGTCATGAGAAAACGCTTAACGTGGCTCACTGTACTTGTGGCATGCATGACACATTTACACTTTTGCTTTACTGTTTGTATCAGTTAAATTTATTGCTTGGTTTCTATTGCTTTTTAGTACGGTGGCTGAGAGGGCTCAACACGCTGCAACAGAAGACAACGGATGCAAACAGAAAAAACCCTGTAAAATAAGACCATCTTTATCACATGTGCTAAAACACAACCAAATACAGAAACACACTCCAAATGTCCGACCAACAACGCAAATATCTACTGGACAGTGGTGTTTATTATTATTATTATTATTTATTGTTTGCGTTGTATTTGCAGCAGTGTGTTGTGAAACTGGTGTCTTGACTTGCTGCTGTTTTTCTTGTTTGCATGTTTTCTTCTGTTGCAGGACTTTGAGGTCTCTTGCCGTTTGCAGTGTGTTTTTGTATTTGGTTGCATGTGTGTTGTCAAACTGATGAAGATGTTCTCTTAATTTGCTGCTGTTTTTTACTGTTTGCATGTTTTCTTCTGTTTCAGTGCGTTGAGATCTCTCGTATTTTCGTTCATTTTTTTAAATGCATGAAACATTTTATGCAACTTTTAATAAATGGGTTGTAGGCTACAGAAGTTTAACATTGCTAGAAATTCAAAATATATTCAAACCAAGTTGTCCCAAATTTGAGGTTATCACAATTAAATTGAGGTTTCTTTATTTTCCTTACTTTGTCTGGTTTATAATTTTTTTGTTCATTTCAAATTTAAATATGAGTAAATAAACTTTAGTTGATTACTACGACAATACGTGCAGTTTCGGAAAAGGAGTGTTTCCATTGGCTACGTAATTTATGATAGCCAATGAGCATAGAGAAGGGAGTAATGCGTCATCAGATATTTAAATGAGCAGTGAACGACCTGCTGCTTCCTTATTAGTTTTGTTAAGTAGTGGTCGAGTGTTTCGGTGTAACAAATGCGGTAAAACATCTCTCATTGATTGATTGATTGATTGATTGATTGATTGATTGATTGATTAAAAAATTTTGCCCACCTGTACACTACTGATTATTTTAAAATTATTTTTTTCTGGCATTCTATAAACATCAGGGACACACCAACCTGTATCTGATCTGTCTGCGCGTGTCTGAATTCGCTTCACATTTAAGGAGGTAAAATGTTTTATAATACCCAACATATTTAACATTTGGAGTTTCATCTTTAATGTTACAAGTGCTGTTTTCAAGTGTGTGTGCCTAAACTAGTTTTGTATCAAAAGAGATCGAGTTTAATTTATCCAGTGTAGGCCTATCTGTTAGGGATGTAACATTTTTGTATGAAGTATATACATGCAAATATTTCTTAAATCTATACATGCACGTGTGTATTTATATATACAAAATAATTATACACATATATTATGTGAACACAAACTTTTATTTTGGATGCGATTAATCGTTTCACAGCCCTAATATTATCTCATGCAATTTACATGTTTACACGCCATGACAAACAGAGGCGAACCAAACTTTCACTGCTCAGGTGAGACGCTTTTTTTCCCCCCCCCCCCCCCTTCCTTTCTGTCTCGTAAACCTGTTTAAAATGAATTTCTTTCTCACACTGGACTCATCAGGTGCTCAACGCCTTCGCTCAGCTGGCGAGAGCCGAGGAGGACGTTACTAAACTCACGTTGGCTCATGAGTCGTCACTGGCTGAGTTGAACGAGGCCGTCACACACAGGGTACAGCATGAATCATGTTGTGTTTCTTTTCTCTGTACTCAACCTGACTGGTGTGTATTAATCTGTATTGTTTTCTTTCTCCTGTTCTCCTCGTTCAGGAGTGTCTGAGTGAGCAAGAGCAGATCCTTCAGGGAAAGATCTCCGTTCTGGAGGATGAACTCCTGAAAGCTCAGTCTCCGGACAGAGGAGAGGTTTTGGGACCCATCATGGAGGTGAGTATGGAGCACTAGGAGTGACGCTTAAAAATAAAAGGAGTCGTTTATCAAATTAATAGTCCAGACATAAAAATGGAAATAAATCCGTTCATAAATGGACAAATCGAAAACATTTAGTTAAACTGTTTAATTAATGCTTTAAACTGTTAAACAATTGTTTTCTGTTATTTAACAACTACATTTTAAAACATGAATCAAATAAGCCGTTTTAAATGTCTATTTATTCGATTTTTCTTTTTATTAAATTGGATACTTTTAAACTTTAATTCATGTTTTAAAATTTTCTTGATTATATAATTTTTTTTAAAACCCATTAAATAAAGTTAAGTATCAATTTAATAAAACAGTTAATTATGTACACTGTAAAAAATGTCAGTGAAATTAACTGTGTAATTCTGTAAAATCATGACAACAAAATTTTGTAAAAAGAAAAACAATGAAATTTTGTTAAATGTACAGTACTATTTTGAAAATAGTACAAATGCTGTTGTAAAATACTGAACCAAACAAAACTGTTGATTTTACAAGAATGTGTTAAAAAAATCATATTAATTTTACAGATGTATGCAATTTAAACAGCGAAAATGAAATTGATGCAATGAAAGCAATTTTTTTTTTTTAATTTACAGAACAATGTCATTTAGGGTGATATCAGGTAAAATGGGCCATTAGGTAAAATGGGCCATTTAAGGTTTGGGGGTCCCAGCTCCTCTAGAATTTAGAGCCAATGACTGCAACGGATTTCAAACTGTTGTCATAACTGTGCTTGACAAATAACAGGCGATAAGATTGGTTTATGGTTGCTATGGTGGGCGGGGGAATAATTCAAATCGAGACTACACCAGAAAGTAAGTAGCCTGGCATACCAAATTGCACTGAACTATTGTAAGGATGATACATCAATAAAAACAAACAAACATGCTCATAAAAAACTATGCATACTGTCTGTCTCGATGGCATTAATCAGAAATAATGTTGTTAGTTTGGTATATAAACATATTTTTTGTAAAAGTGATGTTTTTCTTGGCGGCCCAATTTACCTTAACCCACTAAGGTAAAATTGGCAACATGGTTTCAGCTAAAATGGGCCATCATCTTTGACACACACAGACACACACACACACATAGACACAGACTCAGACACACATAGACACAGACATAGACTCAGACACACAGACTGACACGCAGACACAGAAACTCAGACACACAGAGACTCAGACACAGACTCAGACACAGACTCAATTTCAATTTTCAAATTGAAATCAGACACAGACACACAGATACATACACACACACACACACACACACACACACATAGATTCAGACATACACACAGACACAGACTCAGACACAGTCAGACACAGACTCAGGCACACAGATACAGACACACACACAGACTCAGACATAGACACAGACTCAGACACACAGACTCAGACAGACACAGACTCAGACACACAGACTCAGACACAGACAGAAACTCAGACACAGACTCAGACATACAGACTCAGACACAGACAGAAACTCAGACTCAGACATAGACTCAGACAGACTCAGACACACAGACACATAGACTCAGACACACAGACTCAAACACACAGAAACTCAGACAAAAATACTCAGACTCAGACACACAGAGACTCAGACACAGACTCAGACACACAGACTCAGGCACACAGAGTCAGACACACAGATACAGAGACTCAGACACAGACTCAGACACACCAGACACATAGACTCAGACACACAGACTCAGACACACAGAGACTCAGACAGACACAGACTCAGACATACAGAGACTCAGACACACACAGACTCAGACTCATACACACAGACTCAGACACACAGACTCAGACATACAGACTCAGACACAGACACTCAGACTCATACACTCAGACTCAGACACTCAGACTCAGACACACAGACTCAGACAGACACACAGACTCAGACTCATACACTCAGACTCAGACACTCAGACTCAGACATACAGACTCAGACACAGACACTCAGACTCATACACTCAGACTCATACACTCAGACTCAGACACACAGACTCAGACACACAGAAACTCAGACACACAGACACAGATACTCAGACGCACAGACTCAGACGCACAGACTCAGACACACATAGACTCAGACACTCAGACACACAGACTCAGACACACAGAGTCAGACACACAGAAACAGAGACTCAGACACAGACTCAGACACACCAGACACACAGACTCAGACACACAGACTCAGACACACAGACACACAGAGACTCAGACAGACACAGACTCAGACATACAGAGACTCAGACACACAGACTCAGACTCATACACACAGACTCAGACATACAGACTCAGACTCAGACACACAAACTCAGACACACAGACTCAGATTCATACACTCAGACTCAGACACACAGACTCAGACAGACACACAGACACAGACTCAGACACACAGACAGATACAGACACGCACACACAGACAGACACACACACACACACACACACACACACACACTTTTGTTTTTAAATGGCACTTATGAAATATGTTTGTTTAATTTGGCTGTAGGCTATAAGAAATTGTGTTTAAATACTGGCCCATTTTACCTGAACAGCTGGCCCCTGAAACGGCTCATGCAAAAAAAAGTCGGCACATCTGATGTTTCAAGAACTGTGGGGCCTAAATAATTTTATTTTATTACAAAATTTCAACACAAATGTATCAAAACAGTCATAATTAGTCATGAAAACACATGGATAAGGCATATGGTATTATTGTCCCAAACAATTTACCAAAAAGTGGTCCAATTTAGCTGATATCACCCTAGTAATAGGCTAATTATATTTTAATGATATAAAATGTACTTTCCCCATAGCTACATGAGATAAGATGTTAAGATGATAACGTGATAAGATGTTCTGCTTTAGAATGTCGAGCAATAGATTTCATATTATCGCGGGATCAGCTGTTTTGATGAACTTCACGAGAGTTCGCACACCATTCTGCCAGCGAGTGCGGAGTTTTGCATGACCACAAATATGGTAAGTGAACGGTTTTCTACAAACTTGAAAAACATTACTTTTAAGATAATTAACTTATGTTATGAAATATATATTGCCTGGGACTGGGTTTCATGTTAAACGCACAATTCTTTCAGTTTGTTTCTTTCATGCTGAGTAACGTAACTAAAAAGAGCGATTTTCTTAAAAAAAAAGAACAGTAACTTTAACTGTAGCCTACGAGTATATGTTTTGACTGGAGCTATTTCCATCCTAATAATAATGCTGTCGAACTGTTGGATAAGTTAATTAGGCTGTAAGTTAGACTGTGGGTTTCATGTTCAGCTCAACTTTTTCAGTATGTTTATTTCATGCTGATCACTCGAGTAAGTTAACTAGGATAAAAAAATAGTTATTTTATTTGTTTGCTCAAAAAATGACTAACGTTAACTGTCGTTTTTGCAGCAAAGCAGATTTCTGATTAACATCACGGGATCAGCCATTTTGAAAAACTTCTCAAGTGAGAGTGAGAGAGATCGCCCGCCATTTCTGCCAGTGCTGAGTTGTGCATGACATGTCAAATTGCGATTGCACTGGTAAGTGAACAAACAGTTCGTTTTTATCAAAAAAGCAAAACAGTATTTGTACATAATGTGACTCGGGTTATTTTGACAATAATTATGCTGCCGAATTTGGGGTTAATCAGGCTCAGTTTCTTTCATGCTGAGTAACGTAACTAAAAAGAGCGATTTTCTTCTTCTTCAAAAAAGAACAGTAACGTTAACTGTAGCCTACGAGTACATGTTTTGACTGGAGCTATTTCCATCCTAATAATAATGCTGTCGAACTGTTGGATAAGTTAATTAGGCTGTAAGTTAGACTGGGTTTCATGTTCAGCTCAACTTTTTCAGTATGTTTATTTCATGCTGATCACTCGAGTAAGTTAACTAGGATAAAAAAAAGTTGTTTTATTAGTTTGCTCAAAAAATGACTAACGTTAACAGTCGTTTTAGCAGCAAAGCAGATTTCTGATTAACATCACGGGATCAGCCATTTTGAAAAACTTCTCAAGTGAGAGTGAAAGAGATCGCCCGCCATTTCTGCCAGTGCTGAGTTGTGCATGACATGTCAAATTGCGATTGGACTGGTAAGTGAACAAACAGTTCGTTTTTATCAAAAAAGCAAAACAGTATTTGTACATAATGTGACTCGGGTTATTTTGACAATAAGCTGCCGAATTTGGGGTTAATCAGGCTCAGTTTCTTTCATGCTGAGTAACGTAACTAAAAAGAGCGATTTTCTTAAAAAAAAAAGAACAGTAACGTTAACTGTAGCCTACGAGTACATGTTTTGACTGGAGCTATTTCCATCCTAATAATAATGCTGTCGAACTGTTGGATAAGTTAATTAGGCTGTAAGTTAGACTGTGGGTTTCATGCTCAGCTCAACTTTTTCAGTATGTTTATTTCATGCTGATCACTCGAGTAAGTTAACTAGGATAAACAAGTTATTTTATTAGTTTGCTCAAAAAATGACTAACGTTAACTGTCGTTTTTGCAGCAAAGCAGATTTCTGATTAACATCACGGGATCAGCCATTTTGAAAAACTTCTCAAGTGAGAGTGAGAGAGATCGCCCGCCATTTCTGCCAGTGCTGAGTTGTGCATGACATGTCAAATTGCGATTGCCCTGGTAAGTGAACAAACAATTTGTTTTTATCAAAAAAGCAAAACAGTATTTGTACATAATGTGACTGGGGTTATTTTGACAATAATGATGCTGACGAATTTGGGGTTAATCAGGCTCAGTTTCTTTCATGCTGAGTAAGTAACGTTCGGATTTAAAACTTTTTTTATTAGTTTGTTAAAAAATGATTAACTGTAGTTTTTGCAGCAAAACACTAGAGACATTGAGGGGTTATGTGCTGCATTGTAGAGTTCATAGGAACGAGCCCCGTTGTCTCTTCAAATGTGCTGTTGCTGACTGCAAACGGACATTTTGTACTTATGCAGCTTTTAAAGCTCATTTTTATCGGGTTCACAATGAGTCTGAAACCTCGGTTACTGCTGGGGCATTTGTTGCAGATTTTAAATGTACCATTTCACTGTGTGATAGAAAATTCCACACAGTTAAAGAACTTACATGTCACTTAAAAGAGCATATAGTGGAGGGGCGACCTGTGGCATGTCCAGTAACAGGTTGTAAAAATACATTCACTGTGAAATCATCATTTACTGCTCATATGTCCAGGAAGCATAGAGGATGTTCTGTTGATAGCATAAGTGACATTTACAGGGAAACTATTCTTGCTCAGTCATCTACTGCCATTGCATGTGAAGATGCTTCCCAGGTCTTTAATGATGAAAC